ACCTGGCAACATTGGAACATTGGAACATCGCTTTCCACCTTCCTTCTCCCAACTACCACGCCCCACTCCTCTCCACATTTTCAGGTTCTTCTGATGCAGCCCAAGGAAGGAAGAAGTTAATTAACCTTGACAAATAAGCAGACTCGCCTTCTCTGCCCTGGAAAGTGGAGCGCAAAAAAAACCTAACTGGCCTCTCCAGGAAGCACAAGAGCCGCGATGGGAAGGAAGGTCGGGCCTCGGGGTTACCTTGTACCGAAGCGCCTGGTGAATATCCGCAGCCAGCTGTCCTCGCCACCACTGCCCCTCCAGCTCCATGGAAGCCGGCGACGCGCCCCGCCAGACGCCTCAACTTCAGTCTGGAAGACACGCCCCAGACGCGGTCACCGCCAGCAACTTCCCCTCCACGACCCTCCGCGCCCCCCGTCACCAGGGCTGTGACCTCGGGTCACCGCGCTCGGCTGCTCATCTTCACCTGACCCGACCCCAAGCCATCCTCCAACGCCAGCGAGGCCCGATCTACCCAGTCGAGAGGCGCGGGCTTAAGTCTGCAATCGCCAGCTGGAGGAGCTGCAGGAAGGTGCAAGCTTGGGTACCTCGGGGCGGGACGGCCGGGCTTCGGCTCATCGAGTCCCGGGTTCGAACTCGGCGGCCCGCGCCGGGAGCCCTGACACCGTCCGGACGCCGCCGGAACGGAGGGTGAGCAGCGCTAGGCCAGGTCCGCGCGGACAGCCGGGCGCGCTCTACCGCCCCGGGGGTCGGAGGTACGCTGGCCGCGGCGCGTCCCCCCTCCGAGCGGCGAACAAAAGGCCGGCCGGCCGTGCTCCGCGCCTCGCCTCCCCTCGCGGTGCTCGCCGCCCTCCCCGGCCAAGCCGGCCCGGCCCGCGCAAGGCTCTTACCCGGAACCGCGGCCCTCACAGCCCCAGCCCGGCCGCGGTGCGCGGGGCGCCGGCAGCGCTCATGCCGCGGACGGTCGGCCCGCCAAGCCCCCGCCTCAGCTCGGGCCCAGCACCGGGCCGCTCGCGCCGCCCATTGTTAAAGGACCGGCGGGCGGCTCGCCGTACAAAGCCAGCGCGGGGGCACGGGCCGCCCCGCGCTGCCAATCTCGTCTCGCGATACAGCGGGGTCGCGCCGCGCCGTCCAATCGGCGGCCGGGCCGAGCCAGGTGCCACTCCGGCTCTGCGGGCCCCCGCCCGGCGCGGCGAGCCCGGCTGTCTGGCTCTGCAGCCCCTGGCGTCTGTCCGGTGCCCGCGGGCCACTCACCTGCAGAAGAACCTTCCTCGATGGGTCCTGGGTGCCGGCAAAGAAAGTTTGCGACGCCCCCGCCCAGCGATAAACCGTGGCAGCGCGGATCTGGCCCGCTGTCTCTCACTTGGAGGGGCAGCTCTCCCGGGTCTCCCCGGCCTCCCAAATAGGCTTTAGCTGTTCCCACAGTCCCTAAGCCGCTTGGCTTGTTTAATTCTGCTCCAGTTCCACCTCTAAACCCAGGATTCTTTGAGCAGTCTAATTCAGTTCTTCTTGTGGCTTTTGCTTCGGGCGATTCTCAGGAGTTGTGAATGGAATTGACATCTTTAGTAACGTGGCTTGTCGAATCCATAATGAATGTAATTGACCATCTGCGGTGGTCAGGGAAGAAACCCCAAACTGTGGAAACACTCCAGCGTCGATTAAGGTGATGTTGGAGCTGGAATGTGAGTAACAGAAGCCCTATCAATTGTACTTGAAAGTGTTTGGTGGACCACCACAGAAGTAGGTAGTCAGCTGGGACAGTGGTCCCCCAATTTTCCAGAGTGTATACAGCGACTTCAATTTATTTTTAAACATAAATCATGAGACCGCACCCCTTACTTTGAATATTTTGTTTAGAAAGAGGAAGGGTGACAAAGGACTACTACAGAATGATGAGTGCACATTGCGGGATCCGGGCTTATCGCGCTGACTGGCATTTGCATACATCCTGGAAGAACCGCTGCTGACCTGTGTGTGACAGTGCTAATGCCCGGGGAAAGTAGGGATTCAGGAACTGATAGCAAGAAAAGAGAAGCATCCAAATGAAAGTTGGCAGGGCCCAGCCTAGCCCAGTGCAGTTCAGGAAGAGGCTGCTAGCAGAGGAGAAGGGGACATCAGGCTTTAAAATTTCCATGTCATTTATGGTATTTAAATAGTACCCAGGTCGTCCATTTCCAGTTTATGACTACTAAGCAGGTTTATGGCGATAATTTGGCTTCCAAATGATTAAGAGTCCAGGCCTTTCTTGACCTTTTCAGAAAAGTGGGCCACACACTGTAATCGTCTGTGTGATCCTGTAATAAGCGGGTTGTCCTATAGTCTCTACTTTGAAGACCTTGTTTACAGGGAGATATTTGTTCAGAAATCATGTATTATTTTCTAGACTTAGATGGCTCATTATAAGATGGCAGTATTCATTCTTGTTAATGCCTGTGTATGTCTCTGGTGGTCTTAAGATTATACATTCCTAAGAGGCAAGTTTCAGTTTTACTATTTCTTTATTCCTTTAGAGTGAGCTGGGCACAAAGCAGTTACTTATCTGAACTTGTTTTCTCGCAGTTTATGTTCTACTGGAAAGAGAGAATCATAATAAATGAAAGATAAATCCATACCACATGGTAACAAGTGGTGTGAGGGAAACAAGGTAAGAGGGTGGAGAGGTGGACATTGTTCTATGACGTGGGGAGCCATGCAAAGGCCTGAGGGGAAGTAAGTGGCCGGTATCTAGCTGGGAGACGGGTGTGCCAGACAGAGGCAGACAACAAATGTGGAAGGGCTCTCGGGAGAAAACACATCTGGAAGAAAATGGAGGATTTATGTCTTGGGTAAAGATACTCCAAACCTCGCAAGTGACCAGAAAAGGTCGGAAAGTGAACGGGCAAGGCACCCACCCCGCAGAGAATGGGAACTAGAGTTGGGTTGCGGCCTGAGGCACAAGAAGTTTGGCAAGAGATGAGGATGAGACCAGGTTCTCTGCAAAGCTTTTGTAACTTTGGGAACTTCGGGCAGTAGGAAGCCGCCATACTCTGGCAGTATAGACACTAACGTCAGAACACACAGAGGAGATTATTCATGAAGCTTTCTATACTTGATGTGTGTCCATGAAATGCTGTATGCTGAGTACTAGGGGAGAGAGTCAGCAGTCCAGTGCTTGCCCAGCATACCTGAGGCCTTGGGTGGCTTTGTGCAGTACCACACAAACACACCATTGTAAACCAAATACGTAATATGCATTCAAACGTTAAAAAATATATTTAATTGAAAAATTAAGTTGCTTTTAATTAAAATGAAACACTTTTAAGTAAATGCATGCAAAAGACAAAACATTCAACCACTATAAAATAAAGCATAATAACCAGCAGATTCCTTTCTCCACTGACCCCACTTCCTCCCAGAGGCACCACGACTACTGTGTCTTTTGTTGTACCTTCCCAGAAATACACAGATCTTCATGTCAACACATGAATGCAACCCCCTTGCCTCATTTTGGGTGTAAAATGGTACCTCATTCCATAGTATATTGTGCACCTTGTCTGTGTCCTGCAGTCTAGTATAGTGAACATTCAGGATCTTCTCGGGCTCCATCCAATTCTTGTGGATACAAAACACTAGGAGCCAGAAGCCCTGGGCCCTGTTCCTGATTTGTTTCCTTGGTACAAATTTACACCTGTGTACTATTTAAGTCCCACCCAGTATCTCTGCCTACAATACCATCGTCTCCCACTTAGATTTGGATAAGCTCATTTACTGGTCTTAATGCATTGACACCTGTCAACCTTCTCGAAAATATTTGACAATTGGCAGTTGGAGAGGCTGAGGGAAGGTAGGTCACACCTGTAATTGAACTTGATATGGAAGATCCTAATGATGTTTCCAAGCCACTATGGTGCAGAATGTTAAGGACAGACTTTATGCTATTCTCAAATATAGGGGCCAAAATTTGCATATATTTAGAATATGTAATTTGCCAGTGAGTACTCCAAAATTAAAAATTTACATACATTTTTACTTCTGGTTAAAATGGACATAGACTGTTACTATCTACCTGACTGGGCCACAGGATACCCACTGATGAAGCATCCCAGATATACATGTGAAGGCAGTGGTTTGGAGAATACATGACTTGGTAAGCTGAGTAAAGCAGATTGCCCTTCTGAATGTGGGTAGTCCTCATCCAGTCAGATGGAAGTTTGAGTAGACTTAAAAGACTGCCCTTCCTCAATCGAGTAAGTGGGATTTCCTCTTGCTTAATTTCTTTAAGCTGGGACATAGGTCTTTTCTGGCTCTTTGACTCAAACTGAAACAGGCTTTTCTTACACCTGGAGCTTACTGGCTGTCAGACTAGAACATGACTTCAGGGTTCCCTCTGAGGAATTTTTACCTGGAATTGTACTAGAAGGAGCATCAAATGTACCCATGTCTCATTAGTGCTGACAACATCCTGCAAAGTCAGGCTCTCACTCAACAGGGGATCACAGTTGCCTGGGAGCTTGTTGAAAACAAGGCTGCTCTCCTCTCAGTGTTCAGATTCAGGAAGTCTTGAGTAGATCTTGGACTCTTCACTCTTACTAAGACTCTCAGGATAGCTCGGATGGAGGTGGCATGACTTCCATGATTGACCTTAGGGAGCAGGCCAGAATTGATTCTTTTCCAGGATGAGCTCTAATGTGAAATCAAAGCAGCCAGGCTACCCGAGGGTCTCCCAGAAGAGGTGTGTTGGTAAGGAGGTATCCAGACTCATCCTCAAAGCCTGAGAAAGGGGTGCTGATGTGATCTCCATAGTTCCCAACTCTATTCAGGATCCCAAATTATGCCTAGCATTGGTGAACTCAAAAATAAGCAGTAAAAATCTCCAGGTGACAGGAAAGCATGGATCTAGGAGACCATAGTACTTTTTGCCTTTTCCCTTCTTCCCTTTCACTGATATCGGGCTAAAGAAGCCAAATAGACCCACACAGATAGTATGTTGTTTGGGTATGGATGAATGTATACAGCTAAAGCAAATTCCATCTGCGGAAATTCAGAAGAGTGAATTCCAGTCTGGTACACGGCATCAATGACTGATTGGACATCTGTGTAGGGCATCTGGATGGGAAATCCTGTGACCTGGATAAGGTTAGAACAACACAATGTCACATTACAGTCTAGAAGAAGTTTGGAATTACCATATGCAGAAAGATCACAGAAGCCTTCGTGATGTGGCAGTATTAACAACAACTGGCGTTTGTGAGGGACTGTGATATTCCAGATAGTGTTACATAAGCCACAGAAAACCATATGAGGTAAGTTCTGTTATCAACCCCACTCTACAGACTGGCTAGAGAACAACCAGGGCTGTTTGACGCAAAAATCTGTACAGTTGATAGATAACAAACTTGGACCCTTGCTATGGGATGCTTTCCTATACGCTGTGAATATGTGTTGCTCTCATTGGTTGATAAATAAAGCTGTTTGGCCAATGTAAGGTTAGGCGGGACATTCAAACGAAAGATGGAGATGAAGAAGAGTGAAGTCAGGAGAGATGCCAGCCAGCTGCCCAAGGAACAAGATGTCAGCAGACCGGTAACACGGCCATGTGTCAACATATCGATTAGTAGAAATGGATTAATTTAAGATGAAGGAGCTAGCTAGTAAGAAGCCTGAGCCATAGGCCATACAGTTTGTAATTAATATAAGCCTCTGTGTGTTTACTTGGGACTAAGCAGCTGTGAGACTAGGCAGGACACAGGAAAACTTCTGACTACAGACCCTCTAGATAGCAAACTGCCAAAAAGGAAATGTTGGGGGTCCTACATAGGAGGACTGTAAATAGAATTTTTGAGGTGTTTATTCAGCAATAATTATGTTTATATTAAGTCAGTACTGTGTGATAGTACTGAAGGAATGTGGGTCTAAGAAATGTTACATAATAGTACACAGATGACAATCATGAACCCTTTATACAGCCTTCTATTGCTTCCCTTGGGAAGATTTTTCTCATCCTTAAATCTGCTAACATGTTTTTTCTGTGTGCACTGTCCTCTCTCTAGCTCACCTAACAAGATTTCATCATTAGTGTTTTCTGATCTGCCTCTGGTCCGTGACCTCTGTGAATGCACTCAATTGTGTCTCTATTGTTTACTGCCATAATTCCAATGTTTAGCCTAGGTCCTGGCACAGAACAGAAACAATGTTTAGCATTTACTAAGCACGAGATGTTGAGTGCAGTACTAAGTATAAAACTCACTTAATCCTCACCACAATCACAAAACAGACAACTATTTTACCCCCGTTATCCAATGGGACAAAAGGTATAGATGGGTTAGATGACTTCACCTAGGCTGAAACCAGTGAATGGTCAAAATAGGAGCTGACTACAGGCTGCAGGGCTCAACCTTGACCCAATTATTGTCTACTATGCATTATTAGTCTGATATTTTTACATAGAAACTCCAAGCTTTAAACCTTGGCGTGTATTTAACTAATTAACTATTTGTGTATCTCTTTAATCCCAACTTCTATTAAAAACAAAGAAAAATAAGAACAGCTTCCTTCTTATTCTTGAATGGATGGTACCTGCAGACCCCTCTCTGACTGCTGAGGTACTCAGCTCCTAGCAGATCTTTCTCTTAGGGAGTCCTCCTGGGAGACATCTAGCTTCCTGGGTGGTAGAAGGGGGAGAGTCTCACTCTTAGAAAACTGGGGTTTCTAAGAGCCCGATGGACCAGTTACTAGAGAACAGGTGGGGTATGCGAAGGAATGCTGGTGCTAGACTAAGAAAAGAGAAGACTGACAGATGTCCACCTCATGTGTTTATGGACTTGCTGGACTTGAGGTGCCTTTTTACTACCCAGGGAGACATCAATGCACTGATGATGGTGAAAGGTGAGGTTGGGTGTCAAGGTCCAGGCTGGACATGAAGTTGGCAGTAATTTGCATACAGAGATAACTGAATTTTCCTGGACTTCTCCTGCCCAGAAGCAATGACACAATCCAATAGGTTATTAGAAATCATTTCCCAATTTCCTAGTTTCAGAGTGGACGTCTCTTTTCAAAGTTCACCATTTATGTGTCAGAAAACATACAGTTGGTTCTAAGAAAATGCCATGCATGTAATGTTGATTACATCACAACTTTTTGGTCTATATGTAAATAGAATCCAGGCTGAAGGGCTCAATCTTGACTTAATTATTGTCTACTATCCATTATTAGTCTGATATTTTTTACATAGAAACTCTAAGCTTTAAACCTTGGCTTATATTTAACTATATTTTATTTATCTCTTTAATCCCAAATTTTATTAAAACAAAGAAAAATAAGAAAAAACTTCCTCCTTATTCCTGAATGGATGGTACCTGCAGACCTCTCCCTGACTGCTGAGGTTCTCAGGTCCTAACAGATCTCTCTTTCTATCAGAGAGATCTCCTAGGAGACATGTAGCCCCCTGGATGGTGGAGCAAGAGATTCTCACTCTTAGGATTTCCAACTCATCTGTCTGGTGACCAAGAAAAGAGGCATTTCAGAGATAGTTCAGATTTGCTGTTATTTTAACAACAGGTTAAAACCAAATGTCATTTGCACATTAAATCATATACAAACCCTGTAAAACTGTAGCAGCCTTTCTAACTCACTGTCTTCAAATGAAGCAAAACTTCCCGTGTAAAACTCCAGCTTAGGAAGGATTTGCCGCAGAACAGAAGTGCACTGTCGATTCCAGCGTGTTGGGTGCTTAGGTCGCCATTCCATCATCTTACATTTCAGTGTCCTTTCCAGCCTACAGTGAGAATGCAGAGACTCCATGACAAATTGTGACTCACTTAGTGAATGTCACAAGCACTATGTCACTTCAGGAATGAGAAAGAAACTTGGGAGATTTAGGAGGGAAGCAGGCATTGACAGTGAGGGTGGGTCTCAATGGGAGCTGACATCAGAATGCTTCACCTTCTGATAATGATGCAAGTGGAGTCTGGGCCCCTAGAGCCTGTAGTCTAAGTAGTTCTAGAAGCAATTCTAATGCAAATTAGTTGGGAACCCTTTCCCTACTGCATTTATTCCTTGTTAAGAACAGGGAAATGGGGGCTGGAGAGAGAAGTCTCAACAGTTAAGAGCACTGGCTGCTCTTCTAGAGGACCCAGGTTCAATTCCTAACTCCTGTGTGGTGGCTCACAACCATCTGTAACTGCAGTTTCAGGGGAGCTGAAGTCCTCTTTTGGCCTTTGTGGGCACCAGACATGCATGTGGTAAACACCCACACACATATGCAGGTAAATACATACATATATATATATATATATATATATATATATATATATATATATATAATGTAAATGTTAATAGTTCTCTTTCTAATCTCAAAAAGGGGGTAGTAATGGTGGCTGGGGATGGAGTAAGCTGGTATGCTATCAAGAAAAGGAAGTAACAAAATGAATTTGGTCTCATTGTTTTGACTGACTGACAGTGGGTTACATTCCAGCCTGCTGTGTGAGTGTAAGCCCCTGCAGGAAGTCAGATTCAGAAGCTGCTGACACACGTGGAGTACAAGTGAAGCCTACTATTTAGTCTATGGCCCATTTGGGACTTGATTGAGGCTCTCCATTAGGCAGTGAATGTATATGTTTGGGAGATATCCAGGATTGACAGTGAGGTTTGGATAGTTTGTACTATCCAACTGAGATATTTCACCACAACCAGGGTCATGGCCATTAACCTTCCTATCCTTCTAGAAGGATTATTACCATAGGCTTACCAACTATCTACACTGAATGTTTCAACCATGGCCTATGATGTCCGGAGTTAACTTACACTGTCCTTTCAAGGGGTTCTTTACTTGGTGGAGAGACCATTTATCAATGCTAACACCAAGAGAGTGTAGTTCAGTAGGACTAGCTGGTGTAATCTCCCCTTACATGCTTCTGTTGCTAAGTCTAAGGAGCACTTTGAAAGGCTGGGTAAAGACTAGAGGGTGGGACAAGAGATGGGCTCGAGGACACAGTACCTGCTCTTCAGATCTTCTACCATGCTTTTGTTAGTATCGGAATAAACTATTTCTTCAGGCTGAAATGCAGACAGCTGAAAGTTAGGAACATTCTAGAGACCACCTTTAGATCCCAGTCACCCCTTAAGTCCTGGGGCTGGGAAGGCTGGACCCAAAATAGTCTCTCATGGTAAAAGCAATCTCAAATTCACACAAAGACCACACATTTACTTTGATTTCCACACTACTTAACTCAGCATGGGGGCAGGGTTATAAAAGAGATACTTTTCATGGCTAAGACACATTTGCTATTCTCATTTCTTTTTTTAGCCAAGTATCTGGCATGCTTATTGGTATCGCCAAATGGTCTCACAACACTGGTCTCTTATACCTATGGTGACTTTGGCAAAGTTACATAATATAATTTCTGATTCTCAGTTACTTTGATCATTAGAACAGGAACAATAGTTGTGCCTTACTGCCTTTAAGTCTTAGAACTATTTTAAAATAAAGCAATACATGTAAAGCCTGGCATTTATGGAATGCTCAATAAACATCAGATAATACTGTTACTCTTCTGACATGGTTTATAACCATCCTTTTCTGGGTCTATATTTCTTGTAGCTGGCAGGAACCAATTCCTTGTGTCTGTGTGTACCTGCATATGTGTGTGTACTTAAATACACAGAGAATCCATTTCACACTCTCATCTCCAAACCTTTGCTCAGTTTCACACCTCTAGCCAACAGTAGGGAGCAGTATTCTTCATGTTGCTCACTTACTGTTCTGCGTGGGGTTTACAACTGAAGTTCCTGCCTAACCCAGCTCTACCTTCCTTGTGAGATTCACGAGGGCTGTTCTGAGGGGTTGGGTTCTGACAGCTACTACTTGGGGTATTCTGAACTGGGAAATAGAGGCAGCTGGAGGGATAGGGACAAGTGATCTCCAGAGTGGAATGAAAGTTGTGCAAAAAGGAAACAACACTTGATAAGCCTTTAGTTCCCGAACCGTGGCCCCAGAACCAACCCTGGACATACGAACTTGTGAAAAATGCCAATCCTCAGCTCTGCTTTCATGCCCACCGAATCCGAAACTAGTTTGCTTTAACAAGTCTCCACGATGGTTCTGATCCCTGCTGTGGCTAGACAGCTACTATTGTAAAGAGCAGGCTCAGGCCCACTGAACACAGCAGCACAGGTTCGAGTCTGAACTCCAGAGACACCTTGAGGGGGCTGCAGCTACTCTAGACAGAGCACTGAGACTGATTCCCTGACCTGGCGGCCATTCTCTGCCCGTGAGGAATTCCAGTGGATTAGTGAGCCCCTTCTGGCCTGAGTATGTTGACTTGGCAAATCCTTTGATAGGGGTTTTGTGAGCTTTCCAGTTTTGCCGACGATACCTTTCTTTGCAAGAACTTGCAAAACTTCCTCAAAACTACAAAAAGGTTGCCTGTCGATCTTGGCTCTGGGTGTCTGGATGAGCCTGTATTACACAATGAAAGGTGTGTTCTTGATCATGTCAAATAGCGGTCAGTGAGTGGCTTGTTTTGGGATGGGTGTGGGAAGGCAGGAGACTGACTGGAGAGAGCTCCAGCTCAATGGTTGCTTGCCTTGCGTGCACAAAGCCATGGGTTCAGCTCCAAGCACCACAAAAAGTCAACAGATAGTCAAGTCCAACAGCACAGAAGCTTTTGAAAAACTACATTTGATTATGGCCTCCTGTATGACGTTGGCTTCTGACTTCCCTGTCGATTAAAGCTCAAGTCTCTACCAGCACTTGCTCATCCCTCGACCCAGCTCTGCTCATGCAGCAACCAAAATGTTCTGGAAGCTCTGGAAAGACATTTCCTGGCCACTGCAGGTCGTGCTGCTAGCTGTCCCTTGGAGGCCATTCTTTTCCCTGAATTCCAAGGAGACAAGTTCCGCTCACTTAGCTTGTCACTCACTTTCCTGAAGCCCCTGAACTCTCCTCCCTCCTCCTCCCAGAGCTCCCCCAAAACAACAAACAAACAAACAAAACCACCCCCACACATTCATGACTTCTGCAGCAGCACTCATCATCCCCCATTCCCCTACCCCCCACCCCACCCTCAGGGCTAGTGCTTGGGGTTCAGTTATTTGCTTTTCCTCCTTGAAAACATACACCAAAAATTAGGAATGTGTATTTTACCTTGTGGCAGCTATATCCAACTAAACACCACCTGACTAGACAAGAAATGACTAAACAGGCAAAACCCAAACAAACAAAACACAAACCTCAGAATAGATTATTCTCTCTAGGAGGCAGCCGTGCTGTGGCCCAGGCTAGAGGGTGGTAGAGGAAGCATGGACGCAGACTGTACATGTGGTTTGCTCAAGAAAGATAAGCACATTTCCCTTTTTTAAAAATGGCACTTCAAACAGGAAATACAAAAATACATACATATGCTTGATCTGTGTGGAGAATGTTTAGAAGAATGCACAAGGAACTGGTGGACAGTAGTTATTTCTTAGGAGATGGGGAAAAAGACTTTGAAGGTGGGGAAAATTCTATATTCCTTGGTATTCTTAACTTTCCCCCCTGGGGTTATGTATTCCTTTTAATACTATGAGTTGTCTTGAATTCACAGACAATCATGGAGAAAGACATAATACCCAACATATGGCCACTTGGATATATATACTCATTGCCTTCCTCTATATTTGTTTAGATTTTTATTCATTAGTTTTTATTTTACTTATCTATTTATTTTGCAGTACTGAGAATCACACCAAGTGCCTCGTGCATGATAGGAAAATGCTCTACCACTGAGCTACATCCCTGGTCCTTACTTTAGATTTTTAAAAAAAGAACAAAGACAAGATAGTTCTTTATGTATATGTAGTTCTCAGCTATTGCTCCAGTGTCTGCTTGAATGCTGTAATACTCTGTCATGATGATAATGGACTAAACCTCTGAAACTGTAAGCAAGCCTCCAATTAAATGCATTATCTTATAATAGTTGCCTTGGTCATGGTGTCTCTTCAAAGCAATAGAACAGTGACTAAGACAGAAACTGGTACCAGTATAGTAAGCTATTGCTGTGACAGACCTGACCAGGTTGTTTTGGGAAGAACTGTGAAAGGACTTTGGAACTTTGGGCTAGAAAAGCCACTGAGTATTGAGAGCTCAGTGGGCTGTTCTGTAGGAGCTTAGAAGAGAAGAGTGTTGAAAACAACGCAGATGAGAAAGCCTTGGCTTGAGAAGCTTCAGAGGGAAGCAAAGAGTGCCAGGCCATTTGTGGGAAGAAGCTATGGTGTCCGATGAGCTGGAGCTGAAGAATCAGCTGTGATTGACAAGAGACCAGAACCACTAAAGTAAAACCTTTCCTTTGCTGGGACAATGGACTCTGGTCAGCTGGGCTGAAGAACCAGCTGTGATTAAGAAGAGGCCAGCGTCATTGAGGTGAAATCTTTTGGGAAGTGTTTCCTCAGAGTCAGCACATGTGTATACTATTAACAATTCGTGCTACACTAAGCTCTCTCTATATCCTTCTATGTATACTACTCTCTGATATTGCTCTAAACCCCTCCAGTCTAAAGGTAATTTCTAACCTGAAGTTGGTATTTAGCATTCCTATAAATGCCTTTCCAACTCTATTGTATATAAAAGTGTGTATATATGTATAATACATATAAACACAATGTGTTTTCAAACTTAAGTGGTTTTATACTTTGTACATTATTTACATTACACTTTTTATATTCATTCTTGTTGATATGCATAGCTCTAGGCCAGCACTTCTCAACCTTGGCTAGAAATTGAAATTGGAATTGGGGAGCTTGAAAAACTACTGATAGGCAGATTCACCCATATAGTCTACGATAATCCATGCACAGATTGAGAACTTCTGCAAACTGGTTCAAACATTTTCCAGGGCTGTGGAAGAATTCACTGTATGAGTATTTCACATCTCACAGACCATTTTTCTAATTGTGAACTGTTTCTAATTCCTCACTAGTTCATTCTGTTCATCCATGCCATTTGGTTCTCTGCTGGCCACTGTGGTCTTCTCCCGGTGCATGTTTTCTAGGGCACACAGCTAGAGGGTATAATTGGTGATCACAAGTTGAGCGTGTTCAGCTTTATCACATTATCAGGCAGTTTACACCTGCCCCATTTCTCTGCTTTTTGTTAACACTTGGTTGATCACACATCTTTTCCTCAAGTTGTATTTCCCCCATTATAAGTGAGGCTGTGCATTTGAATTTCTGCTTCTATGAATTGTCTTTTGCCTGTTAGTCTATTCTTTTCCTCCTCTTTCCTCCTCACTGTCCCCCTCCCTTTCTTTTGGCCCACAGCTCCTAATTTGTGGACTTTGTAATTGCCTTCACTCTGTCTCTCCATTGCCCTCCATCCAGAAAGTACAAACTGATCACAGCACAGATCTGCTGGCCATAACATTTAGATCCTGGGTCAGTTCTGGTCTCCTGCCTCCTGAACACCTTTTTCTTCCCATCTTATTTGAAAATAGGAGAAAGAGAGCTCCATCATAGTCCCTGGCTTCAGAAGGGCTGCCTGCTCTAGCTCCCTCTCTTGCTGAAGTGGTTTTAGACCTCGTTGCCATCCTTGCTTCAGCCCCACCCACTGTACTCTTTCTGTCCTGTTTTCATTCTACAAGACAACTACTATGGTTTGTGATTCAGAGAAGCACTCTTATTTATCGTTTTTATACTTGATCATCACCGATGTAAAAACCTACTACGCCATGTTGAACATTACATGCTGTATTTCTGATGGGGAAAAGGTTATAAGATCTAAAGAACACTCAACATTACATTTTTCCCTCAAATTCTTTTTTTCTGCAGATCCAGGAACGGGGTCAAATTAGTCCAAATGTAATTTGCATGGCAGAGAAGATTCATTTTCGGTGAACAATGCCGAGCAATTCAACAACCAGGGCCTGCCACAACTAACAAAGATGAGAAGCAATACTAACACTTATGCAGACACACTTGAAAGAGTATTTATTTACCTGTACACTCTGGGCTTTTGTCCCCTGAAAGTCTTTTGGCAGCAACTGTTTCCAGAAGCTTTCTTTTGAATAGTCAAAATGTACAGCCATTGGTGTGTTATTTTGTTGAATATTAAACCAGACCTATAAAGACATTAACAAAAAGTCAGTGTAAGCCCACGGAAACACAAGACCCATGGTGGGTAAGAGTGGTGCAAAATATTACAGCCTGGTACTCAACCAAGTGGCCGAAGCCAAGGGAGGCCTGAAGGAGGAGCCGATTCTACGGTGCTGCAAGGGCAGCATTAGCTTGGTAGTGCCACTGTTGGAAGTTCTACCAACTGGCTTTAAGGATAAAAGATGGCCTGATCCCTGACACCACAGACTTCTGAGTACCACCACTTCAAAGTTCCTGGGTGATTCTAATGTGTGCTCAGGATGACGTGAATAAATAACTCAAAATATTTCCTTCATATACTTACGTTTCTATCATTGAACAAACAGTCCACACTTTGCAAGGGGCAAAATGGGTCAAACTGCTTATGACACTGCCCTGTTGATGGATTCCAAAGCAAAGACTCTCCAGTTTCTTGGGTTAATACATAAGCCACGTGCCCCTGCATAGGGAAAAGGATTCAGTCATTATTCTGAGCTTTGAAAGTTTTCTTTGGGGGTTTAAAAAATTTTGCTTCCTTTTTCTTTTAAAGGAAAAACAACTTAGCAGCAAAACAAAATAAAACCAAAAAACTCTGAAAACAACAACAATAACAACAAAAATCTAGAAAGTTCCAGAAATCCTGAGACCCAGGTAGTATGAGGATTTAGAACAAGAGACCCTGTGACCCAGTGCCACCATTGGAGGTTCTGTAGGGTACACTGATGGCAATCAAATATGTTACTCTGACAAAATCAATATGCTCTGATGACTCTCCAACAGTTCTAAAGCATTTTGTGACAGGGTCACTTTGGTCTATTCACACAAAAAAGCTGTGGGGACTCACTTGGTTAGAATATACTTGGAGACTGAACACCCGGCAGAGTAGGGGAGAGAGACTGGTCTATGGCTAAGAGGGAATCATTAAAGGAGTTTAAAAATCCACTAAATTAAAATCGAGAGCAGGACTTGGAATTAGAAGCTGACGGATACAGGAAGGCATTCTGATGACTAGGAAGCCGGGGCTGGGGAGCTGGCTCTGTGGGTAGACACTTGCCATGCAAGGCTAGCGACCTGATCCTGGGGACTCACGTAAAATTACAAGGACAGCCCCACAGAGTTCTCTTCTCACCTCCACACGTGCACCTCGGCATGCTGCCCCCCTTACATGCTAATAACAATAAATACTTACTTAGAAAAGATACTAAGAATTGGTTATGGGACCAGTGAGGTGGCTGAGCAGGTAAAAGCCTGCTGGCCTGACCCCAGGACCCTGTGTGAAGGTGGGAGAGAAGGCACTCTAAAGTTTTCCTATGACCATCACAAGTGTGCTGTGCCATGTGCCTCCTCAATAATAAACACAATTGTAAAGTTTTTCAAAAATAATTATTTTGCTCTACACGTTTCTTTTTAGTGTTGACACTTTCTTAGTGAAAAAGAAATAATTCAAGTAACGATAAATTTAACATTTATTGTTTAGGCTAAGACTCACACTGATTTTCTTTTCAATTCACTCTCAATTCTGTGAGGTGGGAACATTTATTTTGCCCCTCTTTAATGAGAAATCAGAATTTAAGGGACCACAGTGACCATGAGAGGCAGGATTGCACTTCTGGGCAGAGGTTAGGATCTGAGAGGTAAATAAAGCTGAGCTCAGACCCAAATGCAGCTGCTGGGAATTAACCCTTGTCCCCAACCCAGCCAGTCTCAGCCCTGCTCTGTGTACCCTGACATCCCTAGTCTCCGGCCCAGAGCTCTTGTTCTTCACTATGCTTCTCCATAGTGAAGAAGGGGCTTCACCCCAACCACAGAATTGAGGTGAAACCGGCCTCCTATGGCGTTCCTTGGTGGATACAAATTAATGTATTTATTGAGACCTAGTTGTGTGTTTACTGCCACCTAGTGGCGTTCACTACAGCGGGGATCAAATGGGGCATTAACAAATTTGACAAGTATTAAGCAATGTCAAGGGATACTGGGAAATAAGACATAATAACAAAACAACAACAAAAAGACCTAAGACTGGAAATGCTGACATGTGGACAGCTATCCATGCAGGGCTCGAAGCAGCTACAAAGGACAGCTTCTGGAGGGATATATTCACAAGTATATAAATTGAGTTGTAAAATGTTTCCCATCAGTAAAGATATATTTCTCATCCGTTCTTGTAAGGTTAAATCCTGGAAGACACTATTGTTGTGTTTGTTCAAGGACTTCCAATGTATCTGAAACCCAGAATGATGGTGGTGGATGAGGACAGCTCCACGCACTGATGCTGCATAACCCCGATCCCATTCATTGCACACGTGCCATAAACAGCTGCTGCTGAATGATGTAATTTAATAGCCCCAGTGGCCTTTAAAGCAGCACTGTTTTACAAGGGAAAAAGAAGCTATTCTTTGCACTGCAGAAATTTTGGTGAATTACCATTATCCTCAAGTCACAAATGTTTGCCCCTGAGACTCTCTAGGTCGCTGAAAGTCTATCAAATATGCAGCTCAAATATGGTTTAGTTTTGTTCACATTTTCCCAGCACTTACCTCTAGGACTGAAGTCCCCAGGAGCACCAATGCCTTCTTTCCAAAATACAGGAAGAAATTACAGAGAAGTATGGCGTGCTCTTCCTTATTTCCAATAGCCAAACTAATGCAGCACTGGGCAAAAGAGGAGGAACAAGAATAATACAATATAGTTAAAAGGTGGAGAAGAAGGAAGAAGAGGAGGAGAAAGGAAAGAGAAAGTCCAGTAGAGTAAGCAACACGTTTTGGGCCCTACACTTCTCTTCAGTCTTAGTGTTCTGACTTTACCAGCTGCTACTATGAAAACACAACCTAACACTCTGGCTTCGGTGAGGCAGAAGAAGAGGAGAACAATAACTTGGAGCACCAGGCCACTCTGACGATGGGACAGTTAATATGAATATTACACAGAGTGGCCAGACAATTTATATCCAAAGCGAGGCACTTTTGTTCAGGACAAGTAGTATACTGCCCTGAGCTTCCAAGGAAGTGCATCTGATAAGGAATCACACACATCTGGGGAAAAGCAATATTTGGGGCTCCGAAGCTACAGTCTGTCCTTTATCAATATAGTATTTGACTCAAAGAAAGGAAGAAATATGAGTTAGATGATGCCCAATCAGAAAGCATAGTAGAAACTTCTGTACCCTAAAGAGCTGAATGCTGAGCTACAGGTAAGAGATCAAATACAAATTGCCAAGTAAGACTGTATAGCAAGAAGGAGTGGCTGAAGACTCATCATCATAAGGAGGTTTGGTCCCTACAGTTTGTTTTATTTTTTGAGACAGGCTTTCTCTGGGTAGCCCTGGCCATCCTGGAACTTGCTACGTGGACCAGGATGGCCTTGAACTCACAGAGATCTGCCTCTTTCTGCCTCCAGAGTGCTAGGATTAAAGGCATGTGCCACCATGCCTGGGCTTAGTCCCTATAATGTTTTTAAAAGCAAAATTTTGTGTAAAACTTTGAATTTCTGGCTTTTGTTGAAAAAAATCTAAAGATGTGGCTTAAATGTTCAAATGATAGCCATCTGTTAGGTCTCTCGGGCTGTCCAACTATCCAGAGATGAGCTCAAACTGGACTAGAGGAGGATTCTTGGTGCGTAGATAAAAGCCCACATTCTTCGGGCACTTGTGAGATCTGTTCCCATTTGCCAAAAAAAGCCATTTCTCTTACCTCTGGCAAGAGGGACCTATGGCTACCCGTGGCACCTACCACACGTCATCAGAGCACATGCTGGCCCCCAGGTTCCCCAGTATCACAAGTACCTGTCACACATTACAAAGTCCACACTAGCATCCTAGCCCTTTTCACCTCTTCCTCACCCTAAACTCCCTCCAGCTCTCAGGCTTCCCTCCCCTTGGCTATTCATCTTCTTCTAACCTGCTCTTCCCACTATTCTCTCTCTTATGTACTTATTCTCTATCTCTTGCTATCTTCTTTCTCTCTCGTACTCTCACTAACTCTCTCTTATTTTCACTGTTCTCTCTCTTACTCTCTATGTCCTGCTATTCTCCCCTCTCTTGCAGACAGCCCTGGCCATGTCCAGTCTGCTGGCAATGTTCAGTTTACTTCCTTTTCTCTCTGTCCTGAACTCCTTCAGATGGCTCTGGCTGTTCTCTCTCTCATATCTACAATAAAAACCTTAACTATATCATGGGGTGGTCATGAAGGCAGTTTCTTT